ACCTGAGTTTTCTCTGTTTGAAATAAGAACAAAATCATTTTGCTCAAGAGTTGCACAACTTCCAGAAATGTCAAAACAAAGTGATGAAAATAGGGGAGTTTCTTACTTTGGTGAAAATTGAAAGTTCACAATGTTGATCACTGGTCTTTTTTGTTTATTATGCTCTGCTAACTTATCCTTGATGCTAAAACTTAGATAAGCCCTAGAGCTATTTTTTTGGTCAAAGGCAAGTTCCACAGATCATCCTTTCAATGCCAGGTTCCTTGTTAAATGCTCAAGATACAACTATGGTCACAAGAAAGTCCTCCCCATAAGGCCCTTGAGTCTTAAGGGCTGACCCCTTCCCTGTTCTATCCTGAAATTGCCCAGTCCACCCTGGTCTGCACTGGTGACCATTCATTCATTAATTCAATAAGTGTTCATGGAACAGCTACTGAATTACAAGCGTGCTGCTTGATGCTAGGCTACCATGGCAAGGAAGAGACAGGCCTTGAACTCATGAAGCTGCTAGACCCTGCCTTTTTAATTTTCTCTCTTGGAAGTCACTAGAGAACCTCACTCCTCCCTCTGTGCTTCCTCAACACTCAGTTCCTGTCTTTTTTATAGCATTTGCATTACTATAATTACAGTGCATTTTTCTGTCTTCTTTTAAACTATGAGCATCTTAAAGGCAAGAATTTCACATTTTTTTCCCCAGTGTCTTGCATTTCATGGTGTCTAGCACATTGAGAGCTCAGGAAATGTGCTCTCAATAATAATGTGCTCATGAAAATTATTTATTCTCATGAATAAATAATTGCATGAATTTATAAAGCAATGGACCTGTGGAACCCATAGACCAGTCTGCCCTCCTCTCCCATCTCACATTTCTTAGATGTAGAATTTAATGAGCAGTCATTTTTCAATACTGAAACACTGCTCATGAGATCAAAAACCTTCTAAACATAAAGCCAGCTGGCCCACGGATCATTTCTTCTTCCAAGATTTATCTGCCACTGGAAGAAAGAGCAAATATTAGCATCAGTGTTGTATGTATTACTTTTTTGAAGTAATGATAGATATGATTTAATGAAATAAACTCATAGTAGGAACTCAAACAGATACTGTTAGAGCTAACCAGTAATAAAAAATATATAACCAGATTGGCTTAAATAAGTCAAAAGCATTTTTCTCATGTTATGTAAAAGTTCAGAGATAGTCCAATTGCAAGGTTCTACTCCATGAAACCCTTAACTCAGGGCACTGTCATTCTCTACAAAGTGGCTCTGGTTCCGATAGACCCAGGATCCATCTACCTCCATGCAACTAAGTGAAGGCAAGGAGTTGAAGGGACAGAGACCAAACACCATGTCTCAAAAGCAAGGCTTGTAGGAAGTGTCACAGGACACTTCAGCTTAAATCCCATTGGCCAGGACTTAGTCATATCACACATAATCATAAAGAAGTTGACGGAAGTAGTCTTCATTTTGGATAGCTTCTTATGCAGCTAAAACTGATTTTACTGTGTCATGAAAGGAGTGCAGATATGAGGGATACAAGTACAGGCCTCTACAACAGATATTCAAACTGAAGTGCTGTTAGTGATTATGCAAGACATTTTGTGTAGCTGCTGCAAGCTGAAGTCACACAATGTTAAGCTTCTGTGTTATGATCACATTTGGCCCTGTCCTCATTTCTTGGAATTGGGGCAGAGTAAGCTACAGAGGAAAGAAAGCTGTTCCAACAGAGAAAGTAGGAGGCATGGGAGCTAGGACTAAGGCACCGACAACAGAAACAGGAAGGAGAAGGCAGAGCACGGGGCAAAATCAGAGTCACAGGACAAGGGGTATGGGTGCTTGAGGAAAGGAGATAAGGATCTAGAACGACTCTTAGCTTCAAAAGCAAATTAGACTTTTGTAATTTGACTAAAAGGATGGTGTGAAAACTACATTAGACTAAAACGGTGTTAACTGTTACAAATTAACCCAAAATCTCTCCTTCATCTATTACTTCTTGCAGTGAATTTTCTGCTGAATGGACTAATGAAGTTAATTAATTTCCCCCAAGGAGTTAATCTTTCACAGGAAAATTTTAACAGGCCTTGGTGACTTACTTTAACCAGTTACAGTGTTTCTTTCTAGTACAGTACACGGGACTCCTTAAAATTCTGAGTTTGTGAGGCATTCTTAATTCAAGTACCAGCATTTTTCACTTGAGTAAGCTGAATTTACAGAGCAGGGTCCCCCGTGAAGAAAGTGGAGTTGACATTACCTTCTTTGGCGTGTTGTTGTGAAGTTTATAATACATTTAAGTTTAGAGGAGCTGGCTCAATGCCTGATCAGTAAATGCTAGTTTCTACCTTTCTTCTTTCCAAAGTATTCTTTTTCCATGCATATATCCAACAAACATTTATTTAGCATTAACTATTTCAGACACTGTACTAAGTGTAGTGTCTTTAGTCAAAGGAAACAAAATTACTTTTTTTTTTCACTTCTAAATATTGAAGTAAATTCTGATTCTCTACACAAGCATTCCTACCCACTATACTGGGAGTTCTGAGAACAGGAATACATATATATCTGTCACCTTTGTACATTCCCAAGCTCCAGCACATGTAGTGGAAAGGGAAAATCAAAGTCATTCTATGAAGCCAGCTTTACACTGGCTACATTGATACATTATACATTGATGGTGGGAATGCAAATTAGTACAACCACTACGGAAAGCAGTATGGCAATTCCTCAAAAAACTAGAGATAGAACTGCCATATGATCAGTGATACCGCTCCTAGACATCTACCCAAAGGAACATAAGACAGGATACAATAGAGACACCTGTATACCAAAGTTCATCACAGCACTATTCACAAGAGTCAAGCTTTGGAAACAACCCAGATGCCCTCCAACCGATGAATGGATCAAGAAATTGTGGTACATATACACAGTGGAGTGTTACTCAGCCATAAGAAATAATGACATGTGGTTTGAAGGGAAATGTATGCAACTGGAGGACATCATGTGAAGTAAGCCAGGTTCAAAAACACAAAGGACACATTGTCTGTCATATGTGGAAGATAGAACCAAAAGATAAACATATACCTAAAAACAAGCATGACCATTTACAAACTCATATGTAGAACAAGTTTGTAATAGTGGAACTACTCTGTTGAACTTGGGAGAAGAGGGAAAGGAAAAGAGAATGGTAGGGCATCAGTAACATCATAAAACATAAAATCTGTGAAGACAGAGGATATAAGGATGTGTATTGAAAACTTAAAAATGGGGGGTGGAAGGTAAAGGGGAAAGAAGAGTAATGGAAGGGTTAAACCAAAGTAAAGCACACCCACAGTGGGCATACACTGAAAAAACTGTTTGAACAGCAACTTAAATATTAATAATTAAAGTCAGGACTGTAAAATAGACACAGTGTGTGTGGTGGGGGATACTGGTGGAAGTGGGGAGAGTGAATGAAGGCAATTAAGATGAGGGTATATGGTTGATTTTCCATAATAGGAAATGACGAAGGAGGAACAGTTTTGGGAGGGAGGTCAGTTTAGGGTTTGTGAAGTTGAAGCACCTTGGGATATTCAAGTGGAGATGCCCAGTTTACAATTCAATGCTTGGCCTTTAACCTCAGGAAAGACTGTATATTAAGCTGACATCAGCAAGTAATTGGTAACTGACACACATGATGGGTGATTTGGGATGCAGAGTAAAAAGATCAGAGAGTTCTTACTGGACTAATCATGCAACAGCAGAAAGACTTCCCCCAAAATCCAATGGCTGAGCTTTGTAAGACATAATCTGACCCATGATTTATCTGAATCCTTTACAAGAATTATTCTTGTCTGTTTTATTCTTTATTCTTTTTATTTTATTTTTCCCCGTACTGGGGTTTGAACTCTGGGCCTCAAACTTGCTAGGCAGAAGCTGTTGAGCCATATCTCCATCCCCCCACATTTTTTTGTTTTGTTTTTTTAACTCTGGTTATTTTGAGAATAGGGCCTCACTTTTTGCCCAGACTGGCCTGGACTACACACAGTCCTCCTCACTTCCCGCCATACCTGGGATGACAGGCATGCACCACCATGCCAGCTTTTTTCTGCTAAGATGGAATCTCATGAACTTTTTCCAGTCTGGCCTAGAACCACAGTCCTCCAGATCTCAGCCTCCGGGTTGCTTGGGGTGACAAGTGTACACCACTGCATCCAGCCATTGGTTGAAATGGGGTTTTACTTACTCCCTGCCTGGGCTGGCCTCAAACCATGATCCTCCTTATCTCAGCCTCCCCAGTAACTAGGATTTCTGGCATAAGCCACCAGCACCCAATATCTAGAATGTCATATTACAAACTGGAACCAAAGACTTGAACAAAAAAGGGGCTATCAAAATAAATGAAGAATGAGTGATCTTTTCTGACATTTCTGTTGGTTTAAAGTCAGATTTAAAGTTAAATATCTCTTATTCTGTATTTTCTGTAAGAATGTGTGTTAAGTGGGAAGTCATCAGGAAGGACATCCCTCACCACGTCACACTCTCCCATGGGCTGGCGTCCTCCTATTTGTTTGCTGTAACAGGCAGAAAAGTCTGTCATTATAGATTCATGTTCCACTGCAAATCCTGTAGCCAGATAGTTATGTAAAGGTGGCTTGCTAATAAAGGAAGACTTGGACACAGGAGTTTAGTCATAAGCATAGTACACATAGCTGATGCTGGTAGGTCAATTCTATGCATTATTCATGCAGAAGAATGAATGGATCGCAGTTGGGCAGCAGATCAGTACACGTGCTTATCAATGGCCACCTTAACACGTGGCTCTCATAACTGAACACAGTGCTTCTGTACTAGGGGCAGTTGTTTTCTCTATCTTACATGCAGTGCTACAAAGATGTGACCATATGCCACACCTTCTCAGTCTGCTACCCCTCAGCCCCTCTAAATGGAAATTGTGAGCCACCTCTGTCATCTTCCTAAGATGGGATTTAGGTTTAGTTGAATCCATTTTTGTCTCTCTTTTGTTTTAGAAAGCATCACAAACAGTCTGTACATGATGTGGTTTCTGAAGACTCCAGGACCACCCACCTTACACATCTGCAACGGAGAAGACAGAAGTGGAGACACAAACGCCATGGCTTTCATTCGGTTATTAATCACTCTGTAGACATGTGTCCCCACCGCAGGGTGTGAACTGCACCACAAGGGAAAGTTCACAGGGCCCCCAAACCACGAGCAGCCTGGTCTTTCTCCCTGGAGAGAAGGCAGAGCCATGGCGTCCTGCAGCTGCTGTTTGATCCTCTTGACAGTTGTCTGGCACTCCTCTGCCTATGGGCCTGACCAGCGAGCCCAGAAGAAAGGGGACATTATCCTCGGGGGGCTCTTCCCTATTCATTTTGGAGTAGCAGCTAAAGATCAAGACCTAAAATCAAGACCAGAATCAGTAGAATGTATCAGGTAAGAGAAGGTGCCAAACCCAAGGGTCTCTTCATTCCTGAGTGGTTAGAGAAAACCTGCATCAAATCCAGAGTAACTTACAAAGACTTGATCCTCTCTTTTCAAAAATGGTGATTACTTACCATGCTGAAGCTTTTTGGGACCTCTCCTTTTTTTCTGAAGAATTTTTTCCAAAAATGAAATGTCCAAGGAATCGAGTGGAACGCTCCATGGCCTGTAAGGACTGGTGGAGTGGCTCATTGGGTAGCCAGGGCATCATTGTTCACATGGCCACAGCACCTGGCAACAATGTGGCTTAATGGAAGACTAAATACCTATAGCTCTTGAAAATGTTAGTAGGAAATTCCCCCTTGACCTTACATGCTTAGTGGTAAGTAATCCCTGAGTGTTGACTGCCTTGTTCTTTTTTGTTGCTATTTTTCCTTAATGTAGGAATTTGGAGTTGAAAGAAACCTCAGGGAGTGTGCAAAACCCAAGGACTTTCAAAATGCAGTCCATAACATTTTGGAACTGTTCCTATTAAAAAGTCTTTTTATCTCCCACCTCCACTATGTCCTGCCCACCCTACCCCCTCTAACACAGATGGGGCAGCACAAAATACATCTAACTTTCTTGTGGATGCTCCCTTCCAATATTTGAAGGCAGCTAATATGTCCCACTAAATCTTTTCTTCTCCAGGCCAAACAGTCCCAGTTTTCTCATCAACTCCTCTATGACTTGACTTTCAGACCCCCTCACCATTCCATTTGTCCTCCATCCAAGGCTCCCTAATTGATCATGACCCTGTTAGAATATAGCACCCAGAAGCAGGCATCTCTTTGCAGTGGGGTGTGACTTCCACAGATAAACAAGGCTGTATATCACCTCCTTCAGTAGGGGCATCAGAGACCATGACTGCACTCCATGCCTTGGCCCAGTTTCTTAGAGACTAGCACCTTCTCTCTGAGCCCTGAAACTTCTAGAAGAGATCCGGCACTTTTCCTTGATCTTCCTGATTGCTGGAAAATGAAAATGAAAACCAAGATCATTCCCACAAAACTGGATTTCCGTTCATGCTGTAATGATAGCACATTGAATAAGAATAACATTTTCACATTTTTCTTATGCGTGTGGAAAAACTAAGTGCAGAATTTTGCTGATATTGATTTTATCCTTCACATGACTAATATAGACAAATGCTCTCTGTGTTTTCCCTACGCTACAAAGTAGCACATGTCCCATGTATATGTAGAGCTGAGATCAACCAAGAAACTTACCCTGAAATAGTATAGTTTTAAAGCCAATTAAAGAAAGATAGCAAAATCAGCTTAGCAGTGCTTTTACATAAGAAAAAAAATTAAAATGTCAATAATTTTGTAGGTTTAAAACAAGTGATTAGGGTTGGTGGAATGGCTCAGTGGTAGAGTGCCTGCCTAGCAACATGAGGCCCTGAGTTCAAACCCCAGTACCGCTCCCTCAAGTAATAGTAAAACAAGTAATTAAACAAATAAAGAAGGAAACATAAGGAAAGTGGCAAAGAGAAATTGTCACACTAAAAGTTAAACCAGAAACATTGGGAACCCAAAGGATTCAGTGGAGTATGTAACAGACCAGATTTCTCACCTCCTGTCACTGAATTCAAGCCTGGTACACTTAGCATAACGGGAGCACCTGCCAAACTGTGATGTTTGTTCCTTTGGGCCTGACACACTGAGTCAGCGCATTTATTCAGCCCTCACGCCAAGCCGAGTGCCTGGAGGGTGAAAACTGTCACTGACTCTATTTCTTTGTAGTGTTAGGTTCATTCTTTAAAAATAGAAAGTATAAGTAAGCCAAAAGCACACAATTTTAAAGCTTATCATTTCCACCACCCAGAAATAACCACTGTTCATATACACCTTCATGTGTTGTTTGTTTGTTTACAAAAGTGAGATCATTTTTTTTTCCTCTTTCCCCTCTGATCTTCAGGAATGTTATAGTCTGAATTTGTGACTCCAAATCTGAGGTTGCTTTTAAGATCCCATATGTTCCCCTGGTCCTTTTTTTTTTTTTTTCATTTAAATCAATGCATTACTTTTATTTATTTACTTATTTAGGTTATTTTTGGGGCAGGATCTCAATACATAGTCCAACCTAGCCTTGAACTAACTATGTATTCTAGGCTGGCCATGAACTCTTGATCCTTCTGCCTCAGCTTCCAAAGTGCTAGGATTACAGATGTGTACCACCATGCCCAGCTTCTATGTACTGCTTTTACTAAAGTATTTCACATTAGCTACTGCAAATTCTATGCTAGAAGAGGCAGGTAAAAACTATTCAATGAGTTACTAACAATTCTTTTCCCTAACTTTGCAGATGGCACCATGCTGAGGATTTTACCTAACCACCTGGTGCCATGATCTTCACACCTATCCCCCAGAGACAAGTGTTATCCTCATTTTACAGAGAGGACCTTGAATCGCAGAGAGTGCAGCACAAAACCAAAGGGAACCACAGTCATAATTCAAGCTCAGCCCTGCCCCATCCTTACTCCAATGCCGTTGATCAGAAAGCCTCCCATTTTCTTGTACTTCTTTCTTCCAGGTATAATTTTCGTGGTTTTCGCTGGTTACAAGCTATGATATTTGCCATAGAGGAGATAAACAGCAGCCCAGCCCTTCTTCCCAACATGACGCTGGGATACAGAATATTCGACACTTGCAACACTGTTTCTAAGGCCTTGGAGGCCACCCTGAGTTTTGTTGCCCAGAACAAAATCGATTCTTTGAATCTTGATGAGTTCTGTAACTGCTCTGAGCACATCCCTTCCACGATTGCTGTGGTGGGAGCAACTGGATCTGGCGTCTCCACAGCAGTGGCCAACCTGCTGGGGCTCTTCTACATTCCCCAGGTACTGGCACCTTCTCAGAGGGGCACTGGGGGCAAGGAGCAGGAGGATCCTGGAGGGATCCTTTACTTTCCCACAAAAGACCTTTCATTTACTCAGGGCACTGTACATGACCATGATGTCAACAATGTCATCACTACTCTCCCAGAATTCCTTTATAAATGCACCTTGCATGTATACAAGTTTGTCGTTCTTTTTTCAGTGTTCACTTATTTATTTTCCAATCTATTCCTTTAGTGAGTGAGCTTTCTTCTGCTTTTACTAAAAGAAATGAAACCATGCTATGTAAGTCCTATCTTTAGACCAAAAATGTCAGTTCCTAACCCTATTCCCTCAAAGTTCTACTTCTCTGCAGATACCAAGTTGAAAGTTTAGCTCAGAGGGAAGCAAAGCACATTTTCTCGTGAAACAAGAACACAATCACTATCTTGCACATTCTAGAATATTCTATTTCATTAGACAAATATTTATAGAATATATATGAATAAGCAGTCTCTGCCTGCAGGAACTCAGTCTTGCTGGGGAGATGGTTGCATTTTCAAATACTGACAGCTTACTGAAACAAATGCTTTAATAAATATTTATTCAAAGTTGTATTCCCCTCAAAAAATGACAGCACACTCTACATGTCATTTTATTACCTGTTTTCCCCCGTTAGCATTGTAGAGCAAACCTTTCTTCAGTTTAATATGTATAGATCACTTATAATAGTGAAAAATTGGAAATAACTTATATGTCCATAGAGAATCAGCTCAATTGTGATACATCCTTCATATCAAATTTCAAATCAAATTATAAATCACACTTTGAATTTTTTTTGATGTTTATTATTGCATTTTAAATATACTGTTGATAATTTCACATTTCTCTTTTGGGAGTGCTCTGTTTCTTTGGTGTTGACCATTATCCATTCATATACATGCAACAACAGAGAAAGTCTTGTCAATTTACCAAATCCTTACTTCAGAGAATTCAAGGAGTTCCTCATGGGGAAGCCCTGCTCTATAACTTTTGTGCCCAAAGTGGTCAGGAAAAATCCACATTAGTAAATGTGTTTGGCATATTTAAATATGGTGTATTACGCAGCATTATTTTAAGTACACAGTTAACATAAGTTGTTACCCCAGGACCAACAGATATAAGATCAAAGTGCCACCAAAAAAAAAAAAAAGCCAGATAGGACATGAAGGGGGGCTTTAATTCTATGTGGTTTGAATGAAAGATAAGGTGAAATTGAATTTGAATTATGAAAGTACTGAGAAGCCTATGATTATCAGACAATCCAATGTAAGTTTGTCTGTAGCAGTGGTTCTTTGTCGTGGCTACAAGTTAGAGTCACTCAGGGAGCTTCAAAAGCCCTGCTGTCTGGGTCCGCCTCATTCCATTCCACCCCCAAGTTCTTGGTTTTGTGAGCTGATTTGCAGCCTGGCATTTGGCGCTTTTAAAACTCCACAACTGATCCATGCATAGCAGGGCTGGGAACCGCTGTTGTGCAGGTCAGTATCACAGCCCAGTGGTATTTCCTATGCCCGTCACGCCACCAAGTGGATGGAACAAGCAGACCAACCAGAACAAAGTGTGGTTAGAACAGCTTTCTGAATCATTCATGAAATTCTCCCTGCTCACAAGAAAAGTTTTCTGTGTTTTTAAGGGTTTTTCTTTTCTGGGGGAGGAGTGAGCACAAAGCAGTAGTTATTCTACTTTAAAAAGGTCACTATTTGAAAACTGGTCAAATATTGTAAGTACGTTCCTTAAGAGAACATATCCATGAAGGATTTTTTTGTTTTCAATTTTTACCCCTTTAAGATCTTTTTTATCCATTTCTCAGAAGAAAATAAGGAAGCAAGCAAAATGATAGTTTTGCATTTGCAAAAGCTTAACTCAAAAGTTGATCATTTGTGTCTTTAAACAAAGCTCTCAAAGAACCAATAAAATCTAAACAAGTTATTTAATCTAACCACTTCCTGAACTTTTGTGGTATAGCAAGAGGGGCTTATTCTGAAAAAAAGAAAAATATATCAATTTTATATTATGGCCTCTGAGATCAAAGCTCTTATCAGAAAAATGATTGCTCTGTAGTAAAGTTGATTCCATTCTTTCATAGACTAATAACTTTTGCATTTCTAATGTGAAAACTATTCATTAATAAAAGTGAAGTATATTTGAAATTTTATTTTAAAATACTGAACATAGAAACTTAATTGTTGGCTAGGTATGGTGGTGCACATCCGTGATCCCAGCACTTAGGAGGCCGAGGCAGGAGGATTTCAAGTTTAAAGACCACCTGGGTTACACAAAGAGACCTTGTCTCAAAAACCCAAAACAAAAACACCTCTGCCTTGCTATTAAAGCTGCTCATCTAGAAAGAAACAAAGAGAAAAAGAGGGAAATGGAAAGGGAGAGAGAGAAGAAAGAAGGAAGGAAGGATGGGAGGGAGGGAAGGAGAGAGGGAGGGTTAGAGAGAGAGAAAGAAAGAAGGAAGGAAGGAAAGAAAAGAAGGAAGGAAGGAAAGAAAAGAAGAAAGAAAAAGAAAGAGAAAAAGAAAGAAAGATTAATTTCTGGTGATAATGAATAAAAAGGCATTTTCCCCAAAATCTTTTTGTTTTCTTTTTTATTTATTTATTTATTTATTTTTCTTTTATTATTCATATGTGCATACAAGGCTTGGGTCATTTCTCCCCCCTGACCCCACCCCCTCCCTTACCACCCACTCCACCCCCTCCCTCTCCCCCCCACCCCCTCAATACCCAGCAGAAACTATTTTGCCCTTATTTCTAATTTTGTTGTAGAGAGAATATCAGCAATAATAGGAAGGAACAAGGGTTTTTGCTGGTTGAGATAAGGATAGCTATACAGGGCATTGACTCACATTAATTTCCTGTGTGTGTGTGTTACCTTCTAGGTTAATTCTTTTTGATCTAACCTTTTCTCTAGTTCCTGTTCCCCTTTTCCTATTGGCCTCAGTTGCTTTTAAGGTATCTGCTTTAGTTTCTCTGCGTTAAGGGCAACAAATGCTAGCTAATTTTTTAGGTGTCTTACCTATCCTCACCCCTCCCTTGTGTGCTCTCGCTTTTATCATGTGCTCATAGTCCAATCCCCTTGTTGTGTTTGCCCTTGATCTAATGTCCACATATGAGGGAGAACATACGATTTTTGGTCTTTTGGGCCAGGCTAACCTCACTCAGAATGATGTTCTCCAATTCCATCCATTTACCAGCAAATGATAACATTTTGTTCTTCATGGCTGCATAAAATTCCATTGTATATAGATACCACATTTTCTTAATCCATTCTAACTTGTTTTCTTAAGAAGTTTAAAAACTCTCTATGAATCTAATGAATAAAAAATATTAAACACTACTTTATTTCCTAGAGGAAACCCTAGTAAGAGAAAAAATGTTTTATTCTTCAGAAGAGATGGTTCAATAACTTGGAACTTCCTAAATGGTGAGCTTTGATGATAAGCAGAGTGCTGCCAGTGGTTTGGAGCCTGTCCAGTCAAAGATACTTATCCTTTCTAACTTTGAGATGATGAGGTGGAGCCTGGAGGAGGGGGTGGGGAGGGGGAAGAACATCCCCACCAGGGTCAATCACCTTCTAACTTTACTCTAGCCACGATTTGGAAAAAAAAAAAAAAAACCTGGGAAGCTTCGGCACTAGCTAATGGTATTTGGACACTTGAGGCATTGCTGTCTGAATATCAAAGGCAAGGCTTTCTTTCCTTGGTAGTACACCCCATGCTCAGATGTACAACGCATCTTCTCCAGGGTTCCTTTTCAGCCTCTATAAGGTTTTAGAGACTCACCTTAGAAGCTGTCAAGTGGACCCAGCTATCACCTGCCATTGAACAAAGAAAAGGGCTGTAGATGGTTGAACCACTGAGAAGTCAGGAGAGGAAAGTTGTTTCTCTGATGGTATTTAATTAAGGACATTCATCATTGTTATCAGGGTGCAGGGGAATGGAGCCCAATGAGCCTAACTGGCTTAACTGAGCCTAAAAGATAAACAGTTCCCAGGAAGTATTGCATCTGAGGTTAGTTTTATCTCAAACACTGGGAGGGAAGAGGGGGAACTAAGGAGGAATAGCTGGAGGACAGGAAGAGGAAAATTGGGCAGAATAGGTAAAGGGTACCCATTGAGGCTCCTCTGAAGAGCCTTAAGTTTATAACACCAGGGGTTGGGAATATAGCTCAGAGGGGGAGTACCTGCCTAGCATGCACAAGCCCCAGCTTCAATCCTCAGCACCATAGGAAAAAAAAAAGCTTATAACCCATAGGAAACCTGATTCTTCCACATGTGGACTATGCATAAAATGTTCATCACAGTGAGAGGAAGCTATAATAGATCACAACCTGGGCCAACAGGCAGGACATGTGTAAATGGATCTATCATAACCAGTGAGGCAACTCAGTGGAGGGTAGAAGAAACATGAAATGGTGCATAAAGACTCCTTGAAAAGAGAAGTACGTCCCACTATTGGTTTGATTCCATGGCCAGACCCATGTTTGAAGGTAGCATCATGAAGAATCACCCATTGAGAATTAGGACTAACAGGTACTTGAGGATTCAGGCTGGAGCAAAACAGATATTTTTCTCACCCTTTCATTCTGTCCATAATGAATAGCATGTTTGATAAATGAGGTTAAGATCTGCTTGAAAAACCACTCCAGAACATCCCGAGGCTCAGCCAGCACCTCACTTACTCATTCTGGGGTCTTGGCTCTTCCTAGGTCAGCTACGCCTCCTCCAGCAGACTCCTCAGCAACAAGAACCAGTTCAAGTCCTTCCTCCGCACCATCCCCAATGATGAACACCAGGCCACCGCTATGGCAGATATTATTGAGTATTTCCGCTGGAACTGGGTGGGCACCATTGCAGCTGACGATGACTATGGCCGGCCAGGGATTGAGAAATTCCGAGAGGAAGCTGAGGAGAGAGACATCTGTATCGACTTCAGTGAACTCATCTCCCAGTACTCTGACGAAGAAGAGATTCAGCATGTGATGGAGGTGATCCAGAATTCCACGGCCAAGGTCATCGTTGTTTTCTCCAGCGGCCCAGATCTAGAACCCCTCATCAAGGAGATTGTCCGGCGCAACATCACAGGCAGGATCTGGCTGGCCAGTGAGGCCTGGGCCAGCTCCTCCTTAATCGCCATGCCCGAGTACTTCCACGTGGTCGGAGGTACCATTGGATTTGCTCTGAAAGCTGGACAGATCCCAGGGTTCCGGGAATTCCTACAGAAAGTCCATCCCAGGAAGTCTGTCCACAATGGTTTTGCCAAGGAATTTTGGGAAGAAACATTTAACTGCCACCTCCAAGAAAATGTTAAAGGACCTTTACCTGTGGACACCCTCCTTAGAGGCCATGAAGAAGCTGGCAGCCGGTTAAGCAACAGCTCCACTGCCTTCCGACCTCTGTGTACAGGAGAGGAGAACATCAGCAGTGTGGAGACCCCATATATGGATTACACACATTTACGGATATCCTACAATGTGTACTTAGCTGTCTACTCCATTGCTCATGCCCTGCAAGATATCTACACCTGCTTACCTGGAAGAGGGCTCTTCACCAATGGATCCTGTGCAGACATCAAGAAGGTTGAAGCATGGCAGGTAAGTCCTTCATGTAGACGGCAGTTCACTGCATAATAAAAGCAGATTTGGGCTAATTCAGGCAAGAAGAATAGTGGTTACTTTAAAAAGGCAATATCAAAAAACATTAAAATTACGGAAGGTGGAAGTGGGAGGATCATAGGTCAAGGCTGGCCCCGGGAAAAAGCATGAGATTCTGTCTTAAAAGCAAAAAAGGATGGGGCATGACTCAAAAAGCATTAAAATTTAAAAAGGAAAAAAAATAAAAAGGCATTATCTAAAATGAAGCCGCTAAATGGAACTTTGGATTCAAGTGCCTTGCCTGAGCAACTGAGTTCTGAAAATTTGATGGTTCCTTTGACTATTTGTTTAAAGGCATGGTTCAAATATTTGTTAGTCCAGTGATTAAGAATACCAAAAGTATGGCCCCTGAAAGTTTTCAAATGTCTTGGAACAGATTTAATACTGGATGGAGCGTTTTTCTAATGCCTCAATTAAGGATGTTGTTCCCTGTGAATAACCAGTATTTGCGAATACCTTTTACAGCCCATACGATAACAAGCACAAAACTCGTGTTGTGTGTTCACATAGTACGTTTGCCCTTATTTCACTCACAGCCTGTGTGTGAACCATCCAGTGGGCAAATTAAAGCACAAGCCTGGCACACCAGCATATCAAAGGCACAGAAAATCTCTTCTTAAAAGGACTATGCATTTAATGTTTCAAAAGAAACACTGAAGTAGTTATAGAAAAAAAAAAAGTCTTAAATGAAGGTCTACACTCATTTCATCGTCTAGCCTTGTGTTGTAGTTTTGAATTCCACATAGGAGAGGCATCATGTTTTTCACTTTGTAGAACTTCTGAAGAAAACACTCTGGTCTGACTCGTATCCTACATAACTGTTCATGTCTGGCATGGGACTTTGTTTCTTCTATCAAACTGTGTTTTACACTCCTGTATGTTTTCCTCAGTTTCTAACTGACCTATCAGAGAGACTGCATGAGAGTGTGTGGGGAGGAACACCTCAATTTGAGTCTAAAGGCTTGGCTCCCAGATTCAGATCCAGCACCCCATGTCCAAGCTGTGTGATCTCAGGCAAGCCACTGCTCTAAGTCAGTCTCTTCCTCTAAAACTGGACCCAATGTCTTTCTTACTGTCTACCCAAGGTCTTCTTGAGAATGAAATGAGATATATACAATATTGCCCTCCCAGTTTTACTTTCCACATTTTAATTAACCATGGTCAACCATAATCTGAAAACATTAAATGGAAAGTTCCTGAAATAATTCATAAGTTTTAATCTTCATGTCGTTCTGACTAGTGTGAATAGTCACTTAGTCGTGCTACATTATCAAATTCATTGTCATGGTATCACAGTGTTTGTTGTCACATAACCCTTACCTACTAACCTAACACTATCACAACTGCCTACATCATTTGCCTCACTTCATCTTATCATGCAGGCATTGTATCATCTCACATCTTCACAAGAAGAGGGGTGAGTACAGTACAATAAGATGTTTTAAGAGAGAAAGAGAAACCATATTCACATTAACTGCTCTATTTTTATGACTGTTGTTAATCTCTTACTATGCCTAATTTGTAAGTTAAACTATCATAAATATGAATGTATAAGAAATCAGAGCATATATAGGGTCTGGTGTTATGTGTGGTTTCAGGCATCTGCTGGAGGTCTTGGACCATATCCACCTTGGATAAAGGGGGACTACTATATAAAAGGCAATTTGTAAACTATCAAGCTCTCAATAGGTGCGTGATTATTACAATAATATTTTAGTACACCTCTAATTAATCACTTAGGCAAAAAATGACAACTAGGACAGCATTTTGTACAGACCCAACCACCACACATCCTTTGAGAAAGATACCAAGAAACAAAGCTTATGTCCGTTGTTTTGGAGATTCTCGTGAGGTGAGAATGAGTGGAGTGGCTATCTAGACTTAGACAGAGAGGACCAGGACCTGCAAGTGCTCAGGTCTTTTTATATGTAGAAATCTTACCTCTGTTGAGTATTCAAATACCTCCTTCCTTACCCTGAAATTGTATGGTGCCAGATAAAGGAGGTCAAACGAACGTCAAAGACTAAAAGAATTCAGGAATCATGATGCCATGGTCTGAATTTTTTCTTTTTTGGCAGTACTGGAGTTTAAACTCAGGACCTCCTGCTTGCTAGGCTGTGCTCTATCACTTGATCCATGCCCCCAGCATCAGACATAATCCTCCTTCCTATGCTTCGCCTGTAGCTAGGGTTACAAGTACATACCACTATGCCAAGCTTGTTTGTTGAGATGGGATCTCTAACTTTTTGCCTGAGCTGGCCTTGGACAGCTCAATCTTTATCTCATAAGTAGCTGAGATTATAGGCATGCACCACCCATGTGTGAGTTTTAAGTAGGAAGAATAAGAAGACAGTATTTGAGTGGTAAATTGTCTTTTCTCTACTGTTTCTCCTTTCTTTGCTTCCATGTCCCATGGAAGGAAGATCTCACCTTCTGAAAAAGCTAAAGAGCAGGGTGTTGAAGGGAAAAGAGGCTTCCAGTGGAAAACTTGGCTCTTTAGTGAATCTTCTCCCAAATGAGGAAGTAAGGTCCTGATGATCAAGGCCAGGACTTGGACCTATGAGAAAAAAATGTTTAAAAAGAGGCCCTCTCAAGATTCAGACTTTTCATTGTATAATAGAAAAACAAAACCAAATTGTCTTGAACAATAGCAATAAAAAGATGTGGAGGTAATTCAGCAGCTCCTGTTATTGAAATCTCAGACATATTCCAGGTACATCTAGATTCTTTCATCCCCATCTCTTTGTTCCTTATTCCCAAGGTTAGCTGTTTTCAGTATCTGCAGCTGCTTCAAATTCAGAAAACCCGTATGTCTAGGCTTTCCTTACCTCCCTAGAAATCATGTAAATTGACAACTCCTGAGTCTTGCTGCTAGAAGTCCTCCCAAACTATAGAGACTGAAAGAATAAAACCAATGTGGATCCCCAAAGGAAAATTAGGATGTTGTTACCAAAAGGAGGAAGAAATAGAAGCCAGGCAGTCAAAGTTTAAAATGTCTGTTACAGAGACACCTCGCCTGGCCCTTGTCCAGGTAAACATGAGTCCTGGCTCATACATGGTTTAGCACAATTTTTCCAGAAAAGCAGATGAATAAGAAAATGGGATCAGAGCTCTGGGGAGGAAAGACATCTGGGCATTGGCCAGTGTCCTGTGTGCTTACTGTAGGTATCCACTGGGCTTCAGGAGCCCAGGCCATTAGGTGGCCACTCCAGACTTTAAGATCTTGGTCATGTCTCTATTTATCAGGATTAAATCAGCAATTATTCACTGTCAATATTGAGACCTATATAGAAACCTATGACTCATGCAATCTTCCCTCAATTCTTCCCTGCCAAACTGCCTGGCATCTCCTCAGAAGTTACTTCTTAGTTTTTGGCACAGCAATTTTGTTTCTCATTAGTTCTTAGTATAGCATCTTTGCTTAGGACACATCTCACTGCTGGAGGGCCATCAATTTTTGTTTCCATTAGCATTTTCCACCACAAACTTTTAAGTCTTTCAAAATTCACCTCCTAGAAGTCTTTTTAAATTAGACTCCCACATACATTCTTTTTGGTCATTCTTTATTCCTTATTTTTGCTGTTTTCTATCCAGTTTAAGCTTCTACAGTTCCCCAGTTAACAGAAGCCCTAAACAACAGCGAGGATTTCTAGTCCCTGTCGTTGGTTAAATTCAGTTGGTGCTTTAGAGTGTATGTAAATAAATGATTCCCATTTGTACTTACAGTACATACAGTTCAACTTTCAAATCCTTTAGAGGAAATACCCTAAAAGGCCACAAGATGGGAATATCATCACATAAAAGAATGTGTGACTTTCTAAGCACACACATGTTTATTTACCCTTCTTTTAATATGTATCCTTCTCAGTGTTCAGTTTTCTTTGTGAGCTTGTCAGTGTCTTTGTTTCATTTCTCTTCCTTCTCATTTATTCTGTCTTCATATTACTCCCCAAATAAGATAAATAATTTAGAAGCATAATATGTTAAATTATGATCTCAAGTTAAATTTTATCTTTCTTTAATGGAACTCTTAGTTCCTTCTTTCAAAATTCTAAAAGTTGAACAGTGCTTTCTCTGGGGAAAATACCTACAATATTCTTGAACTTACATTTTTTTGTGGGTCAGTGATAATCAACTTGAAGATTCTCTATATACCTCTATAGTTGCTCTTTTCTCCTCTCTCTCTCTCTCTCTCTCTCTCTCTCACTTTTGCGGTGCTGGAGTTTGAACACAGGGCCTACCCTTGAGTCACTCCACCATCCCTTTTTTGTGTTTTGTGACAGGTCTTTACAAGATAGGTCTCACAAACTATTTGCCCGGGCTGGCTCCTGATCTTTGCCTCCTGAGTAGTTAGAATTACAGGTGTGAGCCACCAGTACCTGGCTTTTTTTTTTCTCTTTTTAATTGGTGTGCATTAATTATACAAAGGCACTTCACTGTGATATTTCCATACAACACATATAATATACTTTGGTCACATTCACCCCTCGAACTACCATTGCTCTTAAGGGTAAAAGGATTTTCATTTCCTTCTTCCCTGTTATGCGACTTAAAGGCAAGAAAATACGCTGAAATCAAAGTGCTTAAATACGAAATTTGCAAGTCAACATGCCAAAATTTTAATGATACTTAAAGAGATGACTTACATATTGGACTTTGTATGCAAATAATTGATTTTTAATTAATAAGGTACAAATTTTGACTAAAGTGTGTTCCAGACCCACATAATTTTATTTACCTATCTTCTGTGAAGATGAAACTACAAAATCATTCAGGTTAGGATCTGAAGTAAAGAAGAAAATTTTAAATGTCATCTGAAATGGGTCTTAA